GGGTAGATAGAGACTGTGTGCCAGACAACAGAGTGCGGCAATAAAACTATAGGGCTGAAGCTTGGTTAGAACTTCCAGACTGAATAAGAACCACCTAAATTTCTCAAAATCAGCCATTTCTGATGAAAAGAATACTATRCCCTAAAAATGATCAATCTTGAGCTCTCCCATTTAGAAGGTGTTTTTAAATYAAATAAATAAAGGATATCTTCCATAAACTTAATGCATGTTTGGCAAAAAGGTCCAAAGAAGGGATTGATTGAAATCAAAACTGTTCATACCCTTTTGGATTAGTCTGTAGCAAACAACAGTCCCTTAGTTAATATGGGAAAAAAATGGAGCTACAGTGGGTTTTAGAACATGGAATTTGGTCTTTATTTGAGGTTTTCCCCCCTGGAACACCAGTCTCRGATGGCTTTGTAATTCTGATTTCCKGGGGAGGRGGAGAGCGAAAGTGATAATACYTAACACACAAGAGAGTACAGGAAAAGTGCTTGGGGATTCCCAGTTCACAGTCGCCAAGTACCTAATGTGGAAACTGTCGCCAAGGCAATCACATCACCCTTAGCCACAAGTCGCCTCCAAMGGAAGGCACCTTGGTACTTGTCAGTACCTCGTTTTGAAAATGCTTCTTCCTTATCACTCTAAACCACTGCTCTGCTCCCACGCCTGATATGCTGATGTGAGGGCTGCTTGCCCTGTGCAGCACAGCCTGGAAAATTGGTCCTTGATCTATGGCATGCTGTAGCCTTTTGAAAATAGAATTTTCTGACCGAAGGAGACCTTGACAATCATATAATCTGAGCCCTTTAAAGATGAGAAAACCTCAGCAGACAGCTATGATAGAAGGTTAAACCAACATTGAGTATCCCAGCTCTTTAATCCTGTATCCTTAATGCTAACTTGCTTATGGGAAAGCTTGAATCATAATTTATATACACTCACCAAAGGGATTTCTTGACACATTTCACTTAATTCAGGTAAAATGCCAGAAGAGACATCCTCAGAGGTTTGATATGGATTGCTGTAGAGCCGATACACTGACCCAGTAGGACCCATGGTATAAACATGACACAGCTTTAGCTCTCTCCCACCAGCCCTGTTCCAACCTGCTCTGTGGGGCTGGTTGTTTTCCTGCCACTTGGATGAATGAACACATAGGCTCTACAAGTAACTTTCAAGCAATAAAAAGGCCTCAGGTCACTATCAGCCAAAAATACAATCTTATTTCAGTTATTAATATTTTTGGTATAGTGTAATAACACACAGAATCAAAAAGCCCTCCAAATTTCAGTGGGAAATGGGGGTGATGGGAGGCACTGTATTTCTTGCAGTCTTCTCTCCTCCATTACCTTCACTTTTGTASGATGGAAGTGGGGGAAGAGAGAGCTAAGGAAGTAGAAAGGTTGGGATAGCTCTAGGCGACATGGCTTCCCTGGCTCATAGCAAATGCTTCCACCTCTTCTTGTGGGTGCCTCTCTGGGTTTGTTGGAGCCCCATTCACTACCCCCACTCCTGGTGGGGTACATTTCATTAATTCCCTTGCACAGGCAAGTTCTTATTGCCTCTGACTGGTGGCTTCAGATTCTTATCCCTACTCTGAGGATCTGGTGGCAAACTCTGACCTCTTTCTTCGAGATCTCTCTGCCTTTCCAAGTGGTCATCTTGAGCAGGATCAAAGTCAGCCCCACACTGTGTCACACTTAGATTTGTCTCCTGGGGGAGTAAATTACTTCCTCCACACAGTCCCTACTTGGTGTTCAGGCCACTTTCGCCAACTCTGCTTTCTCAGGCGTGAGCCAGACACCAGTCCACAGTGTTCTCCAAATTGCAGCGGGCACATACCCAGTTCTCTGAGAAGTCTGCCTGAAGTCTCTCTTACCAGATGAGAGAAAGGACCCCTCGGTGCTGAGAAGGGGCTCTTAGAACACTGACGACTTTGATGATTTTGCTGACACCTTCCCTAAGCCACAGCAACCTGGTCAGCATCAACTTCCATCCCTTTATTCCTTAAGGTAGGTGAGAGTTTAAGGGAACACACATGGTGATTCAGCACCTTGTTTGCTATGTGGGAAGAGTTGGCAACTATTACCTGGGGACTCTGTCAAAATGGGAGAAAATAGTAGCTCCCGTTGAGCATCCTGTTACCAAATGTATTTTTATTCTTTGTCCAATTGCCTCTTGCAAGGTTTTTTTTTAAATAGGTAGATTTTGGTAAAGATAAAATGCCATTTCAATAAGCTTTGTATGGTTTGGTTGCTTATCAGAGACTACTGAAATTACTGGTTATTGGATAMGGGTTGGCAATAACTTTGTTATACAGGGACTTTTATTATAACAGAGTTCCTTGCAATTGGCCAGCAACAGGGATCTCTTAAGCAGTGCTTCTCAAGTCTRTTTGTTCAAATGAATAAGGGAAGTGATTTGAATCCTAAATAACAACAGCAAATTGACTGCCCAAGAAAAAGAAAATGAATAGGAATATAGAATTTCTTTATAATCGTAAATGTTCTTTTGTCATTTCAGTTACATAACAACTTCACTTACATAAGAAAAACAGACATCATACTCGGATGGATGCAACCTTGTGTTGGTTACCAGAGAAGGGGTATGCCAACTTATAGAGTAGTGTGGTGTAGRAATCACAATGGCTCCTTGTGGTCCTGTAGAATAACCATGTCCCTGAATATTAATTTCCATCCACTCAACAAAATTTGTGACTGGCATCATCTCTAGGTCTTAAGTCTTGTTTCTTTCTTGCTCATTCTTTAACTCTGTGCCCTTTCCTCACAGCCTAAAGCATTTTGGAACACTCTTAATAGGTCATTTAAAGGTATGGGGTGAATCCTTATGCACTTTTTTTTTAAAGACAACCAGTTCTGAAATGGTATTTTGATCTTACTTATACACAATTTTAAAATATCTAAGGTCACAATGAATACATGGTGGACAACTGATTTTAATGAGTGGGATACCAAAAACAATAAAAGAAAAGTAAAAATCACAGTTAAACTTATATTTTATCTTCAGTTCTCTCCAGCTCTAGATAATTTAGCAGAACTTTCATAATATTAGCAGAATCTGCTTATAACAATCCACACTTTCTATGGCCAGCATTTTAACATACTGTTTCAAGCAGTCAATATCACTGTCAGGAATGTAATTCATTTCACTCTTGGGGTTGATTTGGATGGACATTTTGGAGATGAAGGTGGCAGTGATTTAGTACTGCTGATAAATGGCACTGAGTCTGCTGTCCATAAACACACTCAAGTTAGTTTCTTAACAAAAGTGGCTCAAACAAAAYAAACAAACAAACAATAACAACAACAAAAACTTGGCTCTAAGTGAAAGTTAAAATGAAAAATTTCAAGTAAATTAAACATGGTGTAGGGATTCTCAATCCTTCCACAGAGAAGAGGAAAAGTAAAAAGTAATTTTACAAACTAGGGATCCTATTCCCAAGAATAGGATAACAAGACTGATATAAGCATTAAAACATCGGGTGTGCTTCATCATCAAAATACCCATGTCCTGGCTCTACCTGGTCCCCAACCAAACTCTGATTCAATTCATTTGAGGTGGACCTAGGCATTTATATATATTTTTAAAGCCTCCACTGGTGATTCTGACGTTCAGACACAGTTGAGAGGAACTACCAATTTTTTGGATGGATCTAGAGGTTTTAAAACAATGAATTGGAAGGAGGTCTAGCTGAAAAGCTCTTTCAGCCATCTCAGAAAGAAATGAGGGGCACAGGAAGACAGTGAGTAGGGGTATCATTAGAGACAGGATTCTAAACTTTGGGAGATTTCATAGACCACTTTGAGAATCTGATGAAAGTCAGTTACTCTCCTCAGGAAAATACTCATGCGTTAACCCCCACAAAATTTAGCTTATACTTTCAGCAGATACTAACTAGACTAGGATTAAGTTTTTATTTTTTCTGTTTTAATTGGATAAGTTATAGTCACATTCATTAAGGTAAGGAAAAAACAGTAGAAGGCCGACTGATCTCGAGAAAGTAACAGTCCAGCAGCTAGGACAGAACAGTTATAAGAAATCAATGTGCATACACGTAGACAATAATCTCAAATCTCGGTGGGGAACAGGAGAGTTCTGGAAAAGAATGTCGAATTGGAGAATCTGAGTAGGTTGAATCAGGGAGACAGGCTTTGAGAGGCAACAGTTTAAAAGATCGGTATGGTCTGAAAGCTCCCCAAAGCAAGGCGGTCAGACTGACTGGGGAGGTTTGGATAAGGAGGACACTAAGATTGCATTTGGATCCTAAGTTAACCGTGGGCGTGGATTAAAAAATGGCATTGACCCACGCTGCTGCTAGAATGGTGCCACTGGGAGGCTGGGGTCTGGGGTGGGGGAAGCTATTAAAATGCTCATGAATGCAGTTTTATGACGGACTCGGACGAAACACGCGAGGAAAAAAGCGAGCCTGCGCTGGGAGGGCGGCCTTGGAGTCCGCCGCAGTTCATCGACAGGGTCAGAAGTTGGCCCTGTTTGTTCCATAGGATGAAAGAAAACCGCGGGAGAGCACTGAGTGTCGGAGAACCACATTCAGCCAGTGAGCATGAAAATGAATTTTAGTTGCTATATGCAAAAACCCTAGGTGTGGGGACAGAAGGGAGCCAGCCAGAAGGTTACAACAGGTCAGGAATAAATAACCACCAGGCGGAGGATCCCTGATTCTGTCCTTCCTTTTGTTGGGTGAGGAGCGCCAGGCAAACGCGTCCACAAAGGCTTTGGAAGGAGAGGTTCGACCGTCCACACCCGGCTCCAGCCCCGGGTGACTATGAGGGGCCCGGGGGCGGGGGGGTGTCTAAGCCCGAGACCCGGCGGGCTCTGTTCTCCGGGGAGGCCTAGCAGCGGGGACCCCAGAATAAGTCGGGGGCGGGCCGCGGTGCGGCGGGAGGGGACCAGCGCGCGGGCGGGCAGATCCCACCCCTTCCTGAAGGAAGCGCCCTCCCCACCGCGCCTGCCGCCGCCGCCGCCGCCGTTGCCGTCGCCGCAGGTCACGGCCCCGCTAGGCGACCGCGGCCCCGCCGCACCGGAGCAGGTAGGCGCGGCGCCCCCTCCTCCGTCCCGGCCGGCTGGCAGCCAGGGGGCGTCCGGCCCGGTTCCGCGCCCAGCACGGAGGCGGAGACCCGGGGCGGCGGGCKCTGCAGCGGGACTGGGGCGGCGGGTCGCCGGGCTGCGGGGCCCCCCTCGGCTCCGGACCCCTCCCCAGAGCGCCGCGGGCGCGGGCCGTCCCTTGGTTTCCGCGGGCGCAGGCTCCCGAGCGAGTGACGGTGTTGCTGCTGGCTCTTCGCCGCTTGCCCTGAGCGCTGGAGCCCGCGCACCGCGTCCCCGGCACCGCAGTGCCGTCCGCCGAGCCCCTGCGCCGCCCGCCGGCCGCGGCCCCGGCCCKGCCCTTTGACAGGTGTTTCCACCCCGCGCCCCGTCCTTCGGTTATGGGGTGGACTCCCCTGAAGGAAAACGACCCGAAGTTTGACCTCCCGGTCCCTCTGCCATTCTGCGTTCACTTCGCCGCTAGCCAAGTCAGGCTGTCTCGGGAAGGGAAGCAGGGCATCGGGAAGGAGGCACTAACTTGCTTTGCCCTGTGCACCGCCCTTCACTCGAAAAGCACAGTCTTGCTTTCTTTCCTCTTTCCTAGGCKCACACATTTGGGAAGAAATGGGATTTTCAGTTTCTCCAGGTGGCCGCGGTGGGTGGGTTTCCGAGGCTCCTTGGTTATCCAATGCAATAATAAAGTGATGGATGTTTCGTTAGAGCCCTTGTTTAGTGGTTTCCCGTCTTTAAATGAATCAAAGGGAGGATGAAGGTTTTTCCATTTTAAATTCACATTCCTTTTCTCCCTATTTATTCCTCTCCTCCCACTCCTACCTCTTCAGCACTTTATTATATCCCAAACACTTCACTGATATTTTTGGTCGGGTTTATTCYGGCCAGATCATTTCACGGCTGAGCCAGGATTGTGACTTAGAATGTGATAACGTGGCCCAGGTGGAACGAAAGCTGCACTTCTCCCTGAGTGATCCCATTCTGGCTTAACATGTGTGCTCCTGTTAGGGAARCAGGCATACTAATGACATGTTAAAGAACGGAACAAAACTGCTCTTGGCTCTATTACAATAMCAAAGCCTGAAGGGCAATATTAGTTTCTGCTTCTTCAGTTCTCTGCTTGAATTGAAGATAGATTTTAGTAATGCAGGGCTGTGACTCCATTCTGGGCTGCAGTTCATCAAAAGGCTAAGCAAATGTGAATGTATAAAGTCCATCGTAGCAGTTAATAAGCTGACCTACTTAAAGTTTTCTGTTTCAAGAAAAAAATTATTAGGTTTGTATTTGTGATGTTTGCAGATCAAAGAATTCTACAGTCTTGGTTCTCATGCATTAAGTCCCAAACTTTTTCTTGTATRTGACCTAGAGACACCATGTTTTCAAGATTAACTGTAGTTGTCATCTCTTAATGAACTAGAAATGTGAGTTTAATCTTCAAGGCATAAGCATAGGAATTTTAATTGTGTGCTCTGTATTTATGTTTATTACATGCTTATAATAAATATTTTGCAAGTACCCCAAGTTGGAAGTTCACAACTGAATATGGTAAATAAAAGGGTAAAGAAGTTTTGCTAACAATAATGACTAGTTGACAGATGTTATGACATTAAGCAAACATATTAAAGTATTTGAAAAATGCATGTTTATTATAATCTGCCGTAAGCTGAATGCAGTYTGTTTGGATTATTTAAATCAGCATTGCATTATCTTAATAGCAGTTGCCTAATTCATATATTTCTCATTAAATGCCTTTTACAAGTTGCTGTGGGATAGAGATAGTTTTCCTTGTGGAGTAATTTTTTTATGTGTTTAGCCTTTGCTAAAGAACTACCATAACCATGTTTATAACAACCTTGCAAGGGTTTGGGGGGCTTACTTTACCTGCTTTGTGATTGTCAAGAGGAAAGGGCACTTTGCACTCTTGGTTTCCCCTGTGGCTCACATCTCTGCAGTACAATGGCCAGATTAGCAAGGCAGCCTGGAGTCAGGAGGAAGTATAGCTAGTTGGCCCCTGCAGTCTTAGCCATTTGGGATCAGTTTAGTAATCAGTTTAGCAAAATAGATACTGACTAGATAACTTAACATGTTAGTCTTCGCCTTCCTAAGGAAATCTATAGCATTCTGAGTCAGTAGTATAGTGATGATTAGGTTCTTATGAAGCCCAAATGAGATTTGTGCTAAAGTGACCCAAACATGCTACAAAGTTCAAGTATTATAGAAGCTGGCTCTAAGTTCATGAAAGATCAACAAAAGGGACTAGACCCAGGTATGCAATTTGCATTTTCCTTATCATAAACAGAAGTATGTCCCTACTTACTTTAATTATAGACTTTTTATTTCCAAAGCTGATAGTTACACACACACACACACACACACACACACACACACATATATATATATTTGATTTAGTCACTTTCAATCTAGCTTATGAAGTTATTGGAACTTTTAAGTGTCATTATTGCCAAATATTTTCTGCTATGTTGTTTGAATGTTGAAAAATTACTTGTGGTAATGCAAAGTCTTAATGCAAAAAGATTTTGGAAAGAAGAGTTGGGATGATATTTTGAGATAATAATGGAATCTTTGGCAGTCACCTTCAGTTCAACCCCACACTGTTCTGAGTCAAGCCAGCTCTGGTAGGTTGGACTTGCAATTCTTTTATCAACTGAGAAATTTCCTTTTTAACGTCTATAAATAGCCTTCTCTAGATCTGTGCTGTCCAACAGAACTTTCGGCSGTGATGGAAATGTTCTATAGTGTGTCAGATATGATAGCCATGAACCACTACTGAACACTTGAAATGTGGCTAGTGCAATTGAGAAACTGCACTTTGAATTTTATTTAGCTTTAATTAATTTAAGTAGATTCATAGGATTAGAGGCTATCATACTGGACAGTACAGCTCTAAATCCTTCTACCCATTTCCTATAGAGATAGCACTTGATGGCAATTATCCATTAATTACAAGGCAGTAGAAATTGGCATTGATAATGCTGGGAATTAAGATTTGACTGTTATTCTGTTTTATGAGGAAGCACTTGCATTCACTCTGAAGAAGGTGCTTTATGTTGAAGTTCAATTCTATTCTAAAAACAGCTTTACCTTTTTAATTTCCACAAAATAAGCATCACTCAGAACTGTTTGGATGCTTGACCCCATGTGTATGTTCATGAACTTCAGCATTGTATGCTCTCCTGCACAGTATAGATCATGTATTCTCAGAGATGGTTTCTGTACTTTTCATTTTTTTCAAGGTGGAGAGTGGGGATTTGAAGAAAGGTAGGAAGTAGGAAGTTATGCAGAACTGTTCCCCTCTGCCATACACATGCAGTAACAGAAGCTCTGTGAAAAGTCTGACAGGGGTACCTCTGGCTCAAGGAGCAGCTGAAGGCTACGAGCCCTAGAGAAATTGGACCTCTGGGTTTAAATCATGACTAATTAAATATATACTAATTAAATTGTAGGTGAAGATAAACCTAACATTGTCTCTGTCCTGAGGATAATAACCCCCTACAGTGAAGTTTCCCAAATTAGGGTCCATCCCACAAGGCCTCTCTTTGTTGGGCCCTTGCTTAGTTTCTTTCCCTAGGGCTTCAAACCCAAATCTCCTTGCCCAGCCCAGCCTGGGGGGTTAATAAATCCACTTAAAATACAACCTACCCTTATCTTTAGTAGAACTATTGAGTGAATTTGATTTAGCATCTACTATGTTGTTTCAATTTTAAACTAATTTGCTTTGATTTAAACTCTTATTTTGGCTGTGGCAAGAAACACATATTTAGTGTTTTATAAGACAGTTCCCTGCATGACTCTGGGGTGAMTGATCCTTTCCTAGTCTAGGGACCTATATACCTCTCTCCAGGCCAGACCTCAAGGCCCTGGGGGTTCCCCTTCTTTGGGAGGAACTCTCCCTCAGTTACTTATTTAGACATTTGTGTTTGGATATACTAATTAAATTGTAGGTGAAGATAAACCTAACATTGTCTTAGTTCTGAGGATATTAACCCCCTACAGTGAAGTTTTCCAAATTAGTGTCCATCCCACATGGTAATGGGGATGCTTGAATAACTTTAGGAATAACTTTAGGAAATGCTCTCCACAAATCCAATAACAATGTAGAACTCCTGAAATGAAATGCATATTTAACTTTTWAAAAATCTATGTTGATATTTTCTTAAAAAACAAAACAAAACATTTCATACCACACCATAGTATTTTTCAAACTTCGTGTCTTAGGTCTTGAAATCAATTTAACAAGCTAGGATCAGCATTTTTCTTTTGAAACAGAATATATGATAGAATGAAATCATCTCTGTGCATTCTTGTTAGTGAGGGTTTCCAGTGTTAGATAAAACTTTTGTTTCCTCCAGGTATATCACCTACAAGGCCACAAGGCAGTGGAGAATAGTGGCTACAAGCCCTAGAGAAATTGGACCTCTGGGTTTAAATTATGACTGTGCACAACTTGGTCCATATTCAGTAAGCACTATATATATGGATGTTCATCATTTGTGTTGTTATTATATAAGTGTATATGTGCATACTGAATCATGATGCCAAATATTGCCTATGAAACTAGGCTTGGGATCCACTTCAGGAAACATGGATCTAAGACATATGTAGTAACTAACAATAATGAGTGTTTACCAAGTGCACCAGGCTGAGTGCTTTGCACATATTAGCCTGTTTCCCACAACAGTCCTTTGATGTAGTCACTGCTGCTACCCCTCAGTACCTACATCCCAGTCAGTGGTGGAGTCAGAATCTGAACCGGGGCAGTCTGATGGCTGATCACGTGTTCAACCATCCTAAGTTGCAATGTGATAGCGTCACATAGATGGACGTCTGCAGACTTGTGACACTCAAAACATTGTGCCGCATTGCACATGTGCAGAAGGGAGCTGACAGTAGCTATTTTCTGTGTAATATGAAGCCTGATGGGTAAGAGGGGAGTTTTTGATCTGGAATAGACTGGAAAGACCTCACTGCTGCCAG